CACATCAATGCACTTTTGGCCCAATTCAGGAAGAGCTTCTCTGTTAAGAAAACTAGTTGTCCAAATGCATGCAGGGTTGTGTTTATGGTTCCCAACAGTCAGAGCCGACTGATTATTGTGAATAGTCCTGTGCCTCAAAATACAATTTTGGGGAAGAAGTCACAATGCCTTTATCTAACTAACTCCAAAAGACCATTCATCTATCTAGGACACCCAAGGCCAACAGTTTGGTAACAATGACATGACTGGAGTTTGTGCTATTTGACTGCTGGCGGCAGAGCTGACCACCCGACAAGTTGGCAGAGCAATGAACCCTGATTGCAACTCAACGAAAACACTGGGAGTTGAGTGACAGAGAGGTCACTTCTTTAGACCGAAGAAGTCACTTGGATGGGTGACAGAAACGTTTCTCCTACTGAAAACGCTAAGTCCAGATGAACAGAATCAACTTCCTGGGTGATCTTTTAACTGCTCCCAAAATCTGATCCAAGTACGCTTGAGGTGCTTTCAATTATTGTGGTCCTAATCTTGGGAACAAGCAGCCTGCTGACTCAAGTTCAATTACATCTGTGTGCAGATTCAAAAACGGACTCAAAACCTCTCTGCACACAGGCCTACAGTTAATATGCGTTATTCTTTTTTTTGTTCTTTTAAGCATTTTCCACTGATTTATGGTGTTAAGTCTTCTTTTTCTGTATTAAACACACTGAGCTTTAATATAATGAAATGTACTATATAAATAAAATTGTCGTTGTCACTGGTGCGTTAGTAAATATATTACCAATAATCTCTGCAGGCACTTTTTGTGAGTTTCAACCTTCTTGTACTCAATTATAATGTGACTGCACATATATTAAAGAAGTTTGCTGGAGGCAGAAGGTGAACAGATGATTACAAAAATGAAAATGACCTATAAATGCAAGAAAAGGTTCTTTGCATCAGTCTGTGAACTGCAAAGCAGAAGCATCAAATTACCAGCCTCTACTTTGTTACGGCATCTGATTAAAAATAAAAGCCTATAAGCAGGAAAAACAACAACAACATACAGCGCAGTTGCAGTTTCTTAAATATCAAGTAAAAATGTGATTCCTCAGCTACTCGCGCCGCGTCCTGCTTGCCTGAGCAATACTTTTGCTGCAAACTATGAAAACTCTTACACCTCACGGTAGAAGTATTAACATAATCAAATCTGTGACTACAGGGTATCATGTTTGCTATCAAAATAACTTTTTGGTGAACTCCATTAAGTGAAAGCGCTCTGAAAAGTTTTAAACCCATTCCCTCTAGAGAAATGGCACCGTGCTGGAACGCTGATCCTTGAAAATAAGTTTACACTTTCTGCTCATTTTCCTCTGCGGGGATTTATGCAGACTTCCTTTCACAGCAGCTTTGCACTCTGACTGCAACTGCTGTTCTCTCCCTTGCAGTCCCAAGTAATTTACAGATGCGAAATCATAACTTTTGCTTGTCTGAGAAGGAGGAGAACGTGAGACGACACAAAGGCTGTGTATAAACATTCGCATTAACAATGCACGTCGATGGACGCCATAACGAGTTAACACATACCTTCACTTCTGTTCTTTTGAATGCTTGGAAGGTGCTGGCTGTGTCAGTTTTGGGTTTAAGCTCCGTCTTTTTCACTAGTGTGTCTTTTACAACAGGTGCTGAAGATGCAGACGCAGGGGACGGCTTCTGTTGAGGTTTCTGGGCCTTGTGGACAAAAACAAACAAACAACTTTTTACTTAAAAACAAACAAAGCTTGCTGAATCCAAATACAAAGCTGATACTGGAAGATAAATTATTTTCCTCACCATACGCTTCATTTGCCTGGTACATCGGGCGCAGTACCACACAAGCCGTGGGTCATTGACTTCTTTGTCGGTCACCTGGGGCTTGTGGCAGTCCTGGTGGTACAGGTTATGGCATTCTTGGCACTCGACCAGCTGGTTCCCCATGGTCACGGTCATTTGTCTTAAGGGATAAAAACAGCAGGAAAGTAAAGACATATGGCAGGGACACATAATTTGCTAACACGTTTACCTGTTTAGGTTGACGATGGAGTAAAATGAATCTCAATAATTAAAAGTGGAAAAAGTTCCAAGTACAATTTTTTTTCATATGCTACAATCCTACTGGATTTCTGATATGCTGTTGTTGTAATTAGCATTTATTCTATTTATCTATTTTGTATGTGGATTTTTTTAGGTTGGTATCTGTTGTGGACAGGAAAAGCAAGAATTTCATTGGCTCACTTTGGGACAGAAAAAACATGTTTCTTTACTCGGCATATGATAATAAAAGGTTAAAAAAAAATTAAACTTGGGACAGCAACTCAAAAATTTAACATATCTACAAATATTCAACATGTACCTGCAAACCACACAAGCCAGGCCCATTTCCATGGCGAAGTCATCGGCGCTGGTCTCATCATCATTTATGTTTGGCAGCAGGTCTTTGCTCGTCTGCACAGTGATCGGAGAAGAGCGGTTCTCCTGTTTCTCCAAACGAGGCTTTTTCGGGGGGTCCACCTCACCCAAGTCAACCCTGATCTATTTTTTCAGGAAGACAGAAAGAGCACATTTTAGACATGGCATGTTGGCATCACTGACAAACATTTTCAAACTGCATCTACTTCACTGTAACACTAGTACTCTTCTATGTAATAGTACATACGTATGCTTCTCAGATTTGCAGGAAATTTCTGAACTCAAATTTATTTAACATGTAAGCAGCTCTGACCTACTCCGAGCTGGTTCTCTACCTTGATTGATTGATTGATTGATTGATTACTCCTCCACTTTTCACCATAAAAAAGGTTCATTGTTTTACTAAAATATCTATTCATTCCTTTTCCCCCCTCAGTATAAGGAGAGAAGCTCCCTTTAATTTGCCCGCTACAGCCATGCACTGAACTAAAAATAAATTTAAAAAGACCTGGTAGCCTGTCTGGCCTGAGAGTACACGTGCTTAAGGTCCAAAACAAATACTTATTCACAGGAGCCAAACAGGACTAGGACACAGCCGACTAAAGAAAGATTCATGTTAGGCATCTGGCATGCTGCTAAGCTGGAGTGAGAGCAGCTATTTGACTTGGCCTGTCACGACTTATTGACCTCTCCATCCTGAAAAGCTCTTTAGCCGTTTAGCTGCACGTTTACGACCCTCAGAGAATATCAAGTGTCTGCAAAATAATTAAATAATGTTAAATATGAAGAAAAGACTGCTTAAATCGCAGAGTGTTCTTGACTTACTTATGTTTTCCCTTCTTTTTTTTCCTTTTTTCACTACTTCACCTTACAAGAAGGATTGTATGGTCCAACGCAACACCTTTTGCGTTGGACTACCAGGTTGTCGAGATCTTCTAGTAGTTTTGCAAAATTCACACAGTACCTTCTCAGATGGTCTCTTCTCACTGTCTTTCTTGCTCTTCTCAGGTTTACTACTTCCACTGCTGCTACTTGAAGATGAAGAACTTGAAGACTTGGAGTCTTGCTTACTTAAAGTCATTTTTGACACAGTCCCCTTTGATACCTCTATGTCCTGAGGACACATGACAATAATAATAATAATGATAATAATAATAATAATAACTTTTAGTTTGAGAAAGGGAAATTAAGGTTTAACAACAATGAGATACAGCATAAAGAGACTGTATAAACATGTACGTCTCCAGTTTCTTACTTTTTGTAATGAACGGTATGATGAGTCACTTCCTCTTGCAAGGGATTCATCAAGGAGAGCTTTCAGTTTCTCAGCTGAGTCTTTACTTTTGGAGTGTAAATAACTCAGTGCCTTTAGAAAGATGGGATCCAACTCCAAACTGACAGGTCCAGCCATGATGGAAACTGAGGATCAGAAAACACAGTTTTTCGGGCTTCGGGGAACAAATAACATCCCTCTACTGAGTAAATCATGTGCAGTTAAACAAGTTTAGTTAAACTAAGGACAACAAAGGATAGTAAGAGTAAAAAAATTGTTGGTTTTCCCCCCCCATTTATTAGGGAAAAAGGCTATCCAAATCGACCTGACCCCATGTGAAAAAGCAGTTGCCACCAGATTACTGTCAGACACGTTAAATCAAGAAATCCCTTAAATAGAACCTGTTTAACAAAGTGAAGTAGGCTAAAACAATCAGCCCAGACTGCAATCTAAAGAAAGTGACAAAAAGCAGAGAAACAAAGTCAAAGACATTTATCAATCTGGAAAGGGTCACAAAGCCAATTCTAAGGCTTTGGGACTCTAGTGAACCGCTGCGAGAGCCACTCCCAGGAGTGACCGACCTACCAAAATCATCCAGGTCACAAAAGAACCCAAAACGACAACTAAAGAACAGCAGGTCTCACTTGCCTCAGTTAAGGTCAGAGTTAATGATTCAACAATAAGATATTTATATTTATTTATGTTATCGTTAAAATGTGTTTCTTGAACAGAAACTTAAGTGCTAAAAATGTGAACAATTCAGGAAGGGGGCAAATACCTTTTCACAACACTTTAAGTAACATGTTCTTTAGATTCCTTGAAACATCATGCATCTATTTCTGGTGCTCTTAACATTAATTATGCACAAGTCAATATTTTAGTAAGACTTAAATATTTAGTGAAAACTGTTTCCCATGAGTAAAAGCTCTGTCACAATAAACATCTTTATTACTAAACGAAGGGCACTTGAAGGGGAGACGACAGATCTCCGGGAAAACTAGGATTAATGGTGCGTTCCAGATTAAGTCGAAAATCTGAATTTCCTTGTTCCCAGTCAATCTGTTGATTCCAGTTAATCTGGAACATCCCCTCAACTCAGGTTCCCCACTCGGAACAGACCCATCAACCCCGAGTTAACTATCCAAGATGGCGGCAGTGAACGTAAACAGCAGTAAAACTGTAAAATGTATAATCTGTACTGTCACTTTTGTGTATTTATGATTCGCTAAATAAGCCATACAGAGAGCACTGGTCAGATTCTACCCATGAATGTGCTGCGACGGTCATTTTAAGATTAAAAAACAAATACGATGTTGTACTGCTAGTAATAGCTAAACGGCTCTACCTTGCTAAGAACCGAAATAAATCATATTTTGCGCTTTTTTACCATTTTTGTTAGCACCGACTTCCAAGGTAAATGACATGCGTTTGTGTTTTGTGATACGTCATGTGCTTTTTTTCTGTGGGTTAAAACAAATATTTATTATTATCTTCCTTCTCACGTTTGTAGATTGAGTCCCAAATGTCTCAATTCCGTCTGTCGGGTGTAATATTTAAAAGTTCACACAAATTAAAAAAAGATTAACTTCGGCTGCTGCGTAACATATTCAGTCCGGACTAGCAGCAACACAAGGGACCATAATAGCACCACAACGGTAAAAGTTCTCGTTACTCGAAGCTGTCAGTTAGAAATTAGGATTTACGAATGAAATCGTTAAACTGGAATACCATACCTCACACTCTGCTTCTCGTAAACTTGTCTCTCCTCAATCCGGTCTTTTCGATTTCATGGGAAAACTGACGGCAGAACAACACTTCCTACAAAGAAGCCGTTTCCTCTAACCTGTGCAACACTCAAATATGTCCGCAAGATATAAGCGCGGAACCTTATGAAGCAACTTGTGTTACTCCAGAATATTTCACATTACGGCTTCTTCGTTGAATAGTTAATTTTTTTTTAAAAGAACCAGTTTTATGGAGCGGGCATATAATATATTATACAGTTTTACATGTATTTTTCCAGTGACACATCGTGTGTTGTTTATTCGTAAGTAGAAAACAGGTGAAGCTGTGGTAGCTTTAGCACAGGGGAAGAAGAAGAAGCAGCCCACACCATAACAACAACGTGGTTTTATAGAAGCTACTGCTGCTGTAAGTATCACTCATAGTGACATTTAACGTGTTAGATACAGCTGTTTTTCCATTTACAAACCCCACCTCGGAACATCTTACCGAGGCTACTTTTTAAACCTTCACATGTGTTTCACCCCGCAGTGCTGACTTTATTTACAATGAAGCAACAGCCCGAAAACCACCAGCAGCCCTCTCTCTATTTAGAAGTTTGCTTTCAAAACGAGGAGCCGCGCCTTCCCCTGCACACCTCCATCGTCCTGTTCCTCCTTTCTTACTGCGAGTGCAAGTTTTTTAAAGTTTACCTGGTCTTCAAGAAACCCAGCAGCTCCGAGTCTCTGAGAAGTCAGCTGCCAGAGCATCTGGACTCCTCTGATGTTCAGTCAGAGGCTCTGCCTCAGCTGGTTAGGGACTGTCGCCTCCCTGCTGTTTTGGATGAGACAGGGCAGCTCTGCAGGGCAGGACTGGCAGTGGTCCTTAGACATATTATCAACAAAACCATCGAAGCTGACCCCTCCAGAAATGATGTACTGGCTCTGCTGGGTTTCAAGAAGACTTGTCTGAAAGCCTGCGCTGAGGTTAGTGGAAAAAAGGGAAGCAAACGACAAAAATGCACAAAAGAAAATAAACAAGTGATAAGGTTGAAAAAAAAAATCTGGTAATTCTTTGTTTTTACATTCATCGGGCCCCAATATGCCCAAATATCAAAAAGAAATTAAAAATGCATGTTGTGGAAGAGTTTGGGATTTAGGAGGTTAAATATGTCTAAAAGTAAGCACACAGTTACAAATCAGTTATAGTTAGCTGAAACCAAAGTATCCTTAGGCAAGAAATTGAACCCCAAGTTACTCTCCCGATGCAGTAATTGGAATATGAATGTGTGTGAATGTTAGATAGAAAGCACTTTGGTAGAGAACGCATTGAAAAAAAGACCTTGTGTGAATGACTGAATGAGGCATGCTTTGACCATTTAGTGACTTCAGGAACAAACTGAAAGCTGTTGTGAAGCAGTGTAATGCTCTCTCCATAAGTAATGATGTGCTGAAATCAAAAAGAACCATTAAATCTTTGAATGAAAGGAAAACAGAACCAACTTAATGCGAACAAAACCCCAAAACTCAGTCATTACAAAAAGTGACGGTTAACAAAAAATAAAGACCATCTGCAAATCTACAAAATCAAGTAAACCAAATAAATGCAAAATCTTAGAGATCATCATCAGAAATCACACAATTAACAACTTTTAAAAAGTATTATAAGTAAATAATGAACTAATTCTTAGTGTGCTGTAAAGTTTGCATGGTTTCAGATCTAGGAAAGCTCTTATACCTCACAACTTTGACCGTCTATTGTTCCCCATCAGGGTCCCAGAAGGTTATTTATAATAGATTTGAGCAAATGGTGGTTCCCAGTTGGCTAATGAAATTTAAAGCACTCTGTGGTAAACTAGATGTATTTCACATATACACATATTCCACTTGTGATCCTTTCACTCTTCAATCCAAAAGGGAACAACGACAAAAGGAACTGCCAAAAAGTCAAAAACTGGAAAAAACCAAATTCTGACACCAAAACTTTTTTTCCCCTTTTTTTGTTTTGGAAATATGTAGCAAAGTTATGTTTTTTGTGTTTTTAATTACAAAAAAATATCTGACAACTGCACAAGTTGTGCACAGTGCTATGATAAGGACTTGTATTTCAGCCTTTTTATTTTGAGTGCATTTACGGACAGACCTCAAACACCATGTTTTCCTCACTCTTAGGTGAGCCGGTGGACTAGATTGTGTGAAATTGAAATCCCCTCTGCTGTTGAAGAACATCTCCAGAATCCTGCAAATGATGATCAACAGGTGCCCCTCTCCATTCTCACTCTTGAGCGAAGGCTCGCGGAGCCTGTCAGAGTCCACAACGATGACAAAATACGAAGGCGGAAACTCCAGGAGCAGAGACGTGAAGAGTCTGCTGAAAGCCAAGAGAACCTGGACTCCGAGTCCGGGCTTGGACAGTCGTCTCAGGCCTGTGATGGACTTGAGCTTAGAGCAGCTTTGGCCAAACTGTCTGTGGATTCAGTACCAGCTTTAGCCACCAGAGAGAACTCTGAGATCAGGAAAGTGAAGACAGCAGATTTGCCTCCGTTGGAGCATGTGTTTGCCGAGGGACTGTACTTCACTCTGACTGATGTGGTGCTGCTCCCGTGCATCTATCAGTATCTGGTAAGGGCTTTTTGACATGTAATGAATTTTTGAGTGGTGTCAACAACCTCATTCTGATTGTTACTGTCTAATTAAGAATGGCACATACACATCAAAGCACAATTAATTTTATTAGCCCTTTTTTTGTCAGTTTAAGCCTGTCGCTTTTATTTCACTGACACACTTTCTTTACAAATGCTCTTTCAATAATACACCTGTTACACAAACAGTCAAGTGCTGATAGGAAAGGCTTTGTCTCAGTGCATACAAAAGTGGCGCTGATGTCAGACTGAATGCTTTCATGCAGACCGGAGCGTGCAGTTACATGGATTTGCTGGCTCTTTAATACTTTTATTATGATGACTTGTCAAATTATGCATGATGTGTGGTTTTGACACTCTGGTCAGGGTGAACAGGTAGTACACCCAGTTCCCTTTTTAAAATCCAGCCAGGCAGAAACTTGGGTTAAGAAGACTCGCTGCATCAGACTTGGCACAGTTTTTGCTCTCAAAGGTGGTCTGGAGCCACCTGGCAAAGGCTGATAACACTGTACGGGGAGGGTTTTTATTCAAATGCAGCAGGTTGAAATACATTTTACTGACTTTACTTTGGGAACAGCTGACAGAGTTGGCAGGTTGTTATGTTGACCTAAAAAAACAAACTCCTTACTTGAAAATCTTTGAAGAATTTAGAAGCTCAAGTGCTCACTGAATATTCATTACGCCTCATTGTTTGTGATGAATTTGGTAGCAACTGCAGCGGCGAACCGAGAGCTGTAAAGTTCAGGCTTATGCTGTTATTGATCAGGAATGCTGCATTGTCTGGCAGTGGAGTGGGTCTCATTTCACCTTTCAGCTGTCTCCAGCTATTCCTCGACTGTGGGAAAGAACTGAAGTTCTCACAATGAGGCTTTTAGTAGTCAGCTGTGCCCCAGTGGTTTCCAGTTTCACACTCAGCCTAGCGTGTCTCCTCTTAACGGCCATCACTGTCCACAACACATGCAGCCACAGTGAATCCTTTCCACTCCACCCTCTTGTCGTGCTGCGGAGTGCCCCTTCTGCCTCCATGCACCACTCTGTGTCCAAACACACACAAACACACACTCTGTGCCCTTATGCTTCGTCTCAGATCATGTCTCTGTTTGTTTCTTCACCCTCTCCTCCTGCCAGCTCTGTTTAGATTTTTTTTTTTTTGCCAGTCTGTCGCACAAGTGTTCACCAGCGTGATGTGTGAATTCTGGTGGAACGTGGCATCTCGCTTCGCTGGCAGTAACATGTCAGTCGAGTCACTTAATCAATATTTCCTTGTTGTTTTCCTCTTTCTCTTTCATCCTTTCATCCTTTTCTTGGTCTTTAATAGTGTTCCCTCCAAGCACGCGCTGCCGCCACTCTACATCATCTCCCCCACCTACTGCGCTGGTACGGCCGTGTCCAGGAGGTACCGGGGGTGCTTCGGGCAGCCAAGGCTTGTGGGCTACTTCTGTCCATACCCCAGGCTCCCACGTCTGGACTCCCAATTCTCTCAGCAGAGGACAACCCAACCAGTCTACCGGTGGAAGAGGAAGAAGGCCGGGAGATGGCCCCAGAGGTTCCTTTTGTCGGCGGCCCAAGGCCCACAATGACTAAACTCAAAGTAAATGATTACTTTCCTTTACTTAATCCCCAGCATGCTTTGCAGCTATATGTTAACCAAACATGTTTTGTTCCAACACTTCCATCCTGACCTAATATCAAGGGATCTGCCTCCCATTGTCCCCTAACAGCACAGATTCGCAGC